TTATTTGGTCTCTGTTACAGAACTGCGTGCAGTAAGTTCATTTCAAATTGTATTTACTATGACGTAACTATTAATATTATATTATTGTATTTATAAAGTGATTGACATACGTTTGTATTCAAAGCTATAAGGTCAAAGTGAAAACAATACGGATGGTATTGAATTTAAAAAGGAAAGTTTATGATAACAAGTTATATTTCAGAAGAGCTGAAGTGGGCTGCAGTCACTATTCCATCGGTAGTAAGGGTGCATCCCTCTGATCCTGATCAATTCGACAGGTTCATAGAATCACCTTTGGTGACGAAATATCCCTGCCACCAGCAAGCAGTCGAAAGAGCGGTGGCACTGATGACAGAATCAAAGCTGAAGTGTGCTAACAAAGACATGAAAGCAGGACACCACATTGTTGTCTCTGAGGAGAGGCAACAAAATCCAGGAAAGCAGAGGAAGTTCAAAAAACTAATGAAATGATTTATTAAAAGAGAACACTCGTTATATAATATTTTGTATGATGTTTCACAATATTGAGTTTATTCCCGAAAATTTCGAGACTACTTCTTTAAAATTAGCTTTCTCTGGATGATATGCGACTGCAGCGAAGAAATATCAAACAGTCATAAATATGTTAGTGATTCCATCGCTATACTTCATCCACACACTGAACTTAGCAATCTTGATTATAAGTATTAAACAATGCAATATATATATAAATAGATTTTAATTCCAAGTGTTCGTAGAATAATTGAAAACGTAGCACTGTAAATGCGCCAGCTATTCAACTTATGATAACTTAATCAAATTGATGACATTCAAGTGCATTTTGAAAAAATTTACCCGATACTATGATATTTTTTATAGTAATAAGTAATAACACGACGTTCAATTCAAGCCCATTCAATGACTGATGTGCGGATCACAGGCTTCGTTATTGACAATAACTGAGATTAGGCAGATATAGTGGTTCCAGTCGTTACCTGGGGACCCCAGGCTGTAATATTCAGAAAAATTGAAGCTGCGGCGGAATGACAATCTGGGATGAGTGCGGCCCAGGAATGCCAGCCGTTCAGCTTAATGTAAAAACTGTATTACAATTGATAGCATCATTACAATTTCAATCACGTTTTAGAGCAATTTACACGAGAGTAGGACAATTATAACCTGTTTAATCTTGTTCGGCGTCATCGAAAACATAGGGTTACAAGGTTTCCGCTTCGATTTCCATCAATAAAAAATCCTTCTAATTTCGATTCTCTGGGCCAGCTTGTCATACGTTGTATGACCCGCCGCGCACGAAGTGCGCGGCTCCCCCTGTATCGTCAGTTGGGGGTCGCAACGTGATACAAGGGCCAGCTGTCTGCTGGGTTTCAGAAGGTGGTACCAGATGCTGCTATAATTGAGCGCTCAGCTGCTCTAATTGGGTCCAATTACACCCGATACACGATATTATTCCATATAAGGCCTGATCAAGTAGCTTCAGCTCTGGTGACGTCACAAAATCTTCTAGTCGGCATACGACACGTTACGAATGTGATCACGTGCCCGAGGCTTTACGAATCAAGGTCACGTGATAGGATTAGCGGTCACGTGATAGGACTGAATGTCACGTGACCTCAGTTATCCCTTATATGGCACAACTAGCTGCAATTGATCAGCTCTTAATTAGGCTGAAATCCTTGACAGGCTTATAATTACCCAATTTTAAATGAACGATATCTCATCCTACAGAATGATGAGAGCGTAAACAAAATGCTTCCCGGGATCAGCACAATGCAGGGAACAAGATGCTGTTGGAATATCAATTATTCATCTTCCACCCGTAGTCCCTAAACAAGCGCGTCACGCAGTACGCGTATACACATGGCTGTGTGAAGGGCCAAAGCATTTTAACCCTATTACTTATGTCATGGGGGTGATTCGGAATCAGCGTCCGAAAGTACATCAATTGTAGTTGGTTTCAACTGTCGGGGGCCTGGGCCCTTTTAGAACAATCTCCAAATCTCGAAGATCGACTGTAGAGTGATTTAGCACACTTGTAGCACTTGCCTTTCTTGTAGCGCGATGCGTTACTGTGCTGCGCCGCGCACTCAATGAGGCTTCTCACAGATCGGCGAGATGCGCTACTGTGCCGCGTCGAGCTGAGATGAATTGACATCGTCAATTAATTGCATTTCCATTTTCGAAAAGAAAGCGGCGCGCGCTAATTTGAAGAAATTTAGACGAGTAACATTCTTCAAGTCGAATAACCGACGCGACGTCTTCCATATCACATTACGAATATTTCAATATTTGTTTAAATTATAAACAATGTTTTTAGTCTTAATTGACGATGTCAATTCATGGCAGCTCGGCGCGGCACAGTAGCGCATCTCGCCGATCTAGCCAGCGAGAGAAGCCTTATTGAGTGCGCGGCGCGGCACAGTAACGCATCGCGCTACAATTTTAGTCGTGCATTTAATGTATATTTTGGATGATGATTAATCAAACTACACTCAACTCACAACTGTCACGTACAACGTAACTTTTTCAACCCGTTTTCTAGCTGAGTACCCTGAACGACTGTACAAAACCCTAACCCGACCCTAGCTAATTTGATCCAAACCTTAACCCAATCCCAATACTAAGAAAAGCATTTTATTTGCTGAAACCCTAACCCTAATATAACAAACACTAATATAATAAAAATTATACCAACTTCCTTATACGGTCTTATCACGTACGCCTACGTGATCAAAACAGTTTTTCGGCAATATTTTGCCAGGGGAGCATTTTAACCATGTGTCTTGGGGGTGATTCGGAATCAGCGTCCAAAATAGTTCGAAGTTTGATACATGTTACGTATCACAAATATCAGAGATATTATTCCGCCTTCGGCGGCGCGCGCTTCGCGCGCGAAAAGTGGCATGCAACGTATGTCAATTCGAAGTTATGTCGGAGGCCTTTGTAGAAAAATCTCGAAGATCGAGTGTAAAATGATTTAGCACGCTCGCGTATTTTTGATATGTTATATAGAAATTTAAGAATTATCCCGTGTACTTCTATTTGTCGTGTATTTACCTGGCCGACTGTTAATATTTATTTTGTTCAAGTTATTTTTTATCGGAGGACGTTGACGTTTCAAAGCGCCGCGCGCATTATCATGCTTGCTGCTTTTCGGGATCGTACCAGAGCTACGAGCTATTAATGATTAGCAACGTCAATCAAGTCCATGCACAACTTTGAAAATACTCATAACGTTTTGTGTCTCCCCCTTGTATCGACCTTTTATTATTCTAATGCTAGTTTTTGTGGATATGTCCTGTGTCATATTTTTGATTTTGAACTTTTAATATTTTTATCATTCGTGTGGCAGAGCATTTAACAATTGTTCTATTTTCCGTTCAGTTAAGTTTGAGAATGTATGAAGCAAGCTATTTACATGTTTTTCAAATGAAGTCACTTCGAAAGATTAAGTTACTGCATACTGGACAACGTCTACAACATACAATTGTTCAAGTCTTTTTCATTAGGAAACTGTTCTTTGCCAACCGGACGACTCCCTGTACAACTCATGGTGCTGGATATTTATTTTGGCATCACTTTGAAGCTTTCTCTTACGGAGATCAGTGATGAATCAAAAGCGTTTCCATAATTTATCGTTATCGAATGTGTTCTTAAATATATTTAATTCCTTTTTGTCACTCACTTGAAGTAAGAAAAAGCATCCTTCACACTTGAGTCATGTGGTTATGTGATTCACAATAGCATCACAGTCAGTGCATGTGGCTTGATCATTTTTCTTTTGTATAGTCGACTTATTTTTTGTTCCTTCCATAGCTCTGTCCGTTGTTGCAGCTTTTCTTATAACGTCCTATTGCTTCTGCTTTGATTTTTTAGACGTTTTTAGCACAACTCTGACATAATATGAAGCATCTTCATTTTCCTAATTTTGTCTATTTTTGTTGAACATTGATTCTGGTTTTGACTTCTTTTAAGTCAATTGTTTTGTCTATTTTTCCTTCATTGGTATCTTTTTTATTAACTTTTCCGCTACACTGCACTGAGCATTATTCTAGGTTCATGGAAATCAAATTGTTAAAGACTAGTCCCAGCCCTGTCAAAGAGTCAGTTTACCCAATAAGTTTACCTAATAATAAAGTACAGGAGCTGAGGGGCGCTTGAGTCAACTATCCCTAACGAAATTAATTCCTTTGAAGATATCATTCGGCTATGTGCTTAGTTAAAAATGTATTTTCTTACAAAAAGATTTGTTTTACTAACGTTGCAAGTTGCAATTGAGGTCAATAGTATCAAACATTGGCAATCTAATCTTCTTATATTTGTTAGTTTGTAGTCTTTAGGCTAGTTCTTTTCATACATATTTACATGTCTGCGCAAATTTCTTCCAGTCTATGATCGCATGTTTTCAAAATCTGGGAATAACAAACGAACAGCAACATTAGAGCACCTGAATGCATATATTGTAATATGTAATTAGGTTTGATTTTACCGTTTGGTTTAAGCTTTTGGTTGTACTTCAACTGATTTTTTGTATCTTATCATTTCATTATGTTGCATTTATTGTTGATATTTTATTAAGACTTCAAAGTACAAATGTTTCCTTTGATTTTTCTTTATACGGTTTTACGTTGGCCTTTCAGTGGCCTCAGCGTAGACTGCTTGGACATTGGTATAATTCCTTCCAACTTTTTAATATACATACATATTTATAAATATGTGGAGATTACCTGACATAAATGACTTGTCGAAGTAAAATTGTTTGAGTCTTTAGCCATTTTAATACAGAGGTAGAACAGGCTGGCTTCACTCAATTTGAGCCTGACCATAACACCGAAAACAACTCCAAATGAGGAACGACTAACAGCACAATAAATTTGTTCCTCGTGTAACCATGCGCCAACAAGTACCGGGTGTAAGAGCTTTGATCTGAGAAATACTAAGTCTTCAAATCCAATTTTATGACTTGTACCTAATTAAAATAATAATATAATGTACAATCTATGACTTCAGCAAGATTATGTTTTGAGACTTTCAAAAGCCGGAAAAGCCATACACCAATTATTTTCTACAAGCTGCTGATTTAATGAACTTGTATGAAATGTAATTATGGTGCTGGTTCTCTACTTGTCCATCTGCCTTTGCGGTAAGCTCCTTAAATTGTTACAATGTTTTCTCCTCGTTGATATTCACTCAGATTTTCCCCCTGTATGTGTTGTTAAAGGCTGTGCAAAATAGCTCTGCTGTGTTGTGTTAAACATTTAACGATTCGAAATGTTTCAGAGTATCTGATACAGAAGACAACTGCCTTTAGAGACGAGGTGAGATCAGACTTTTTAATCCTCATATTACAGAAATTTCTAGAAATATTAACTTACTGTATTTTTAATATTATGTCACTTGGTTGTCACCTGAAAAATGCGTCTAAGCTGGGAAGTTTGCAGCTATCTCCAGTACTTTACACGTGTGTGTCTCCAAACTTTCATCAGTATTACCCCAAGACATTAATTACTCTGGAATTGTGAACTAATCACCCCATAATATTAACTCTTAATTTAGTGGACAACTGAAAGTGCTAAGCTACAGATTTAAACAAAAAAAGTGTTGAAATTGTCTCATTAATTTGCGTGTCAACAAACTCCAGTCCTTGATGTAACTCGCGGGTAAAAATGTCAAGTTTTACTTCAAAAAGGGAGATTATCGCCATTATTTTTGCACCACAGCAAGGTCAGAAAGAAGGGGTGCTATAATATGCAACATAAAACAAACTAGTTGAAGTAACAGTTAACAGGGTGACGAGTTAGGTTCTGATCATGACTGGTAGCCCGATAACAAATGTATCAGACTACACGACTTAAGCTCCATCTCGAGTTGTGTCCCATCTTTGTTCCCGAGCACTGCCCAGACTGCTGCTGAAACACTCAGGAGATGCCGCCTGATAAGGGTCCCTGCTGTAAGAGTGCCACTCTATTGCCGGTTGTCAAAACGGCCGATATATGGGGAAGCCTTACTGTAAAATACTTGAACTTAGCTCACTGCAATACTTTATCTATACCAACTTTTCTGGCAAGCCTCTAGATATATATTCTGTTCTTTTTCTTTTTCTTACGTTGTGGAGAAGCAATAAAACCAACTAAATCGAACCTCGAACAAGATAAAGTTCTCAAATGTATGATGTACTCGGCTGAAATTATTCCCCTAATATTACAAAACTAAGATTAAAATCGCCTCCGTATCACACAATAGAGTCGTTATATTATAGGTCATCTCATGAGGATTTAGGCACCACATTATGCATATGCCGACCCCACATACATTGTCGATGCTAAACTGACGTTACCCAAATCTTGCCCCCTTGTTGACTATTGATATTGTATTGCTCTCTTACACTACTACACCTCTCTCTCTCCCTCTCTCTCTCTCTCTCCCTCTCTCTCTCTCTCTCTCTCTCTCTCTCTCTCTCTCTCTCTCTCTCTCTCTCTCTCTCTCTCTCTCTCTCTCTCTCTCTCTCTCTCTCTCTCTCTCTCTCTCTCTCTCTCTCTCTCTCTCTCTCTCTCTCTCTCTCTCTCTCTCTCTCTCTCTCTCTCTCTCTCTCTCTCTCTCTCTCTCTCTCTCTCTCTCTCTCTCTCTCTCTCTCTCTCTCTCTCTCTCTCTCTCTCTCTCTCTCTCTCTCTCTCTCTCTCTCTCTCTCTCTCTCTCTCTCTCTCTCTCTCTCTCTCTCTCTCTCTCTCTCTCTCTCTCTCTCTCTCTCTCTCTCTCTCTCTCTCTCTCTCTCTCTCTCTCTCTCTCTCTCTCTCTCTCTCTCTCTCTCTCTCTCTCTCTCTCTCTCTCTCTCTCTCTCTCTCTCTCTCTCTCTCTCTCTCTCTCTCTCTCTCTCTCTCTCTCTCTCTCTCTCTCTCTCTCTCTTGTAATTATATCCTGCTAACCACTAATCATACTGTACACCCCTACAACACGAGAACTGCGCCACTCCGAGAATATACGGCGTATAAAGGGTCTCAGTCTGTCAGTCTGCTTGGAGAGAGAAGAAGTCCTATATAGATCTCGGTCGACTTCAAATTCCAGAATATTCTCTCCCTCTCTCTCTCTGCTCACGAGTAGTTGCCTATATTTTCACATGTGAGGGCTATAATAATAACAGTAGCAGGTATATATCTAGAGAACTCTGTTAGGGTTCGAGAGACCCCTGTCGCAGTTTCTACCGTAATTGGAGAGAGTCCGCCTGGTGGCACCCCACCTCGTTAAATGCAGCCAGCATTTAATGTGAGGTGTAAAGTTCGTGGTCATCTCAACTGCTTGTAACAAATAGTCCGCTCCCGGCCAACATCAGTCCTCATTATACCTTACGGATACTTAATTGGTCATTAGAACCTCATTATCGTCAACGTAATAGTTGTTTTCAAGCAATCTATAAGAGTCTGACAATACAATTTGCATTACTAGCCACACTGTACCTATAAAGTCGTGATAAACAGATGCCAATGATACTGATCTGTGACAAGGTGAGCTAACGCAATGTAGGAGCAGTGTGCAGGAGTCTTCAGGCCTGATAGCACTCCTTCTATTGGCCCTAATTGCTGGACTAATTGGGTATCAACAAGTATTTTACGGCGTGTAAGTAATAAGAAGTAGGAGAGAATGTTGGCGGAATGGCGTGTCAGTCAGCAGGTATTCAGGTACAGAACTGTCCTCTCCGAGTCAACTTTCCTGTTTCCCCTACTTCACCAAAACTCAGTGCCTTGTCAGGACACTTTTCTCTAAAATACAGAGTTTTACTGTTGACCACCAGATATGCAAGGCATGTAAGCTTACCTTGTTTTCTCCGCCCGTACACACAGCGCTCCTCGTGGTATCTTAACAAATGTTAATTTGCGTAAATCGGAATGAAGCTATTAAGGTATGCCTGAGTTCCCATTGCTCGGTGCCAGCGCGCGTATTGACCGGGTGCAAGTCCGTCTGGCAGCACTCTTAAACCTGGTCAGATGTTGTCTCTGTGGTCCTCCCAGCTAGACCTAGTGCCCTAATCACACCATGACCTGTGTTTTACAACGAAAAATAATATTACTGCCCACTAAGGACATGTGGCGTAGACCTCTCGTTATTGGACATAATTAAACGGCTGACCCGCTTATATTCTATCACAGTCGTATCATTAATATCCCGTCCGTCGAACCTATTATTTGTCTCCGTAATAAAATCAAGTGATTTGTCTAGCTACTCCTATTATATCACACTTATGATAATAATAATGTCTTGTATAACTATACCACACACAATATCAAAAAAGGAGGGGTAGGCATGACAGAAAGAGAGAGAGAGAGAGAGAGAGAGAGAGAGAGAGAGGTGGTGGAGGTGTTTGCACAGAGCACAAAGGGCTGGTCAGCTCTCCCACAGTTATTACAACAGGCAGCTGTTGAAAGAGTGGCCATTCTCAGGAGTGCTTCACAGGCCGGCCTGCTAGGTGCGCAACCATGCGTAAACAACTTGTCCTGGCATGTTTCAGACAGGTACCAGCGTGTCCGGGATAACGAGTGCTAGGGACCGAGCTGGGAGATACAATACAGCAAATTATTAAGTAGCTCATTTTCCGGCAGATTTGTCTTGACAATGGGCTCATTGTGATAAACAGTACTTTTGTCTGCAGTCGTCTAATGGAGGTGACTAGAGTGTGGGTATATAAATAAATGCAGCTGCGCCTGCGTGACTCATTATTCAATAAAATTAAACCAAAAAGCAAAAGAGGATTGGTTCCCTTAAGTGGCAGCCCCTGACCTTGAATAGAAAAAGAGGATTGGTTCCCTTAAGTGGCAGCCCCTGACCTTGAAAAGCAAAAGAGGATTGGTTCCCTTAAGTGGCAGCCCCTGACCTTGAATAGAAAAAGAGGATTGGTCTTCTTAAGTGGCAGCCCCAGACATTGATAAGCAAAAGAGGATTGTTTCCCTTAAATGGCAGCCCCTGACCTTGAAAAGCAAAAGAGGATTGGTTCCCTTAAGTGGCAGCCCCTGACCTTGAATAGAAAAAGAGGATTGGTCTCCTTAAGTGGCAGCCCCAGACATTGATAAGCAAAAGAGGATTGTTTCCCTTAAATGGCAGCCCCTGACCTTGAAAAGCAAAAGAGGATTGGTTCCCTTAAGTGGCAGCCCCTGACCTTGAAAAGCAAAAGAGGATTGGTTCCCTTAAGTGGCAGCCCCTGACCTTGAATAGAAAAAGAGGATTGGTTTCCTTAAGTGGCAGCCCCTGACCTTGAAAAGCAAAAGAGGATTGGTTCCCTTAAGTGGCAGCCCCAGACATTGATAAGCAAAAGAGGATTGTTTCCCTTAAGTGGCAGCCCCTGACCTTGAATAGAAAAAGAGGATTGGTCTCCTTAAGTGGCAGCCCCTGACCTTGAAAAGCAAAAGAGGATTGGTCTCCTTAAGTGGCAGCCCCAGACATTGATAAGCAAAAGAGGATTGTTGCCCTTAAGTGGCAGCCCCTGACCTTGAAAAGCAAAAGAGGATTGGTCTCCTTAAGTGGCAGCCCCTGACCTTCGTCTACTAAACTCATATGTTTCGGACTTGAACAGTCAACACTTAAACTTATAATCAAATTTCCAGGTATCCAATATCAATAACTCAAGTCTTTAAGTGATAAAATGTAAAAATATCACTGATTCATCTTCTCGCTAAGTGTCCTGGCCATTAGGTAACCTTTTCACTTAGTAACATGGTTATTAATTAATCTGGTCTCTAAATTATATGGTCACTAAGTAACCTGGCCACAAAGAAAGTAGGTCACTTAGTAACCACTAGGTTATCTCTCAGTAACCACTAAGTAACCCCTCAGTAACCACTAAGTAACCACTAAGTAACCTCTCAGTAACCTCTCAGTAACCACTAAGTAACCACTAAGTAACCACTAAGTAACCACTAAGTAACCTCTCAGTAACCACTAAGTTACCAATAAGTAACCACTAAGTTACCAATAAGTAACCACTAAGTAACCAAATCTCTCAGGACTGGTATAGTGTAGACAAGGTACCTGGTATTGAAGGGTGGGTGGAGCTACGGGATCACAAGAGGAGCGTAAAACTCAACCTAACACATCAGTACATGGCTTTCATGGTGAGTAAACCTCTTTATTATAATAAATAATATAGTTAGTAGTTACTAATTAACATTGTAACTTAGTCACCTAGTTACTAAATAACATTGTAACTTAGTTACCTAGTTACTAAATAACATTGTAACTTAGTTACCTAGTTACTAAATTATAAATAACATTGTAACTTAGTAACCTAGTTACTAAATAACATTGTAACTTAGTAACCTAGTTACTAAATAAAATTGTAACTTAGTTACCTAGTTACTAAATAACGTTGTAACTTAGTTACCTAGTTACTAAATAACATTGTAACTTAGTTGCCTAGTTACTAAATAACATTGTAACTTAGTAACTTAATTACTAAATAACATAGTAACTTAGTTACCTAGTTACTAGATAAAATATTTACTAAGTAACCTAGTTACTAAATAAAATTGTAACTTAGTTACCTAGTTACTAAATAACGTTGTAACTTAGTTACCTAGTTACTAAATAACATTGTAACTTAGTTACGTAGTTACTAAATAACATTGTAACTTAGTTACCTAGTTACTAAATAAAATGTTTACTAAGTAACCTAGTTACTAAGTAACCTGGTTACTAAATAACTTTGTAACCTGGTCACCAAAAAAATCTCAAACTCACATATCAGCTCATGGCATTCATGATGAGAGAAAATCTTCGTATTGTACTAATAAAATGTGACTAAAAATCTTCATATTGTACAGTAATAATAGTAGTAGAGTGTAATACGTTGTGTTCTATATTATTATCAGGCCCTGTTTAACATGTTTCGCTTTAAGATTGACGTAGGTTATATTGGAACACAATACACATCTAATATCCGGACAATTCACTCAATTTACTTCTATATCGCACACAGTGCGAGAAGTCAAGTTCAAGTAAAATCCTGCATGAATCAATAGACCACCTTTAAAAAGAGCTGTATTACTTACTTGACAAAACTTGTAGCATTATATGGATCGTCAGCCAATTGATCTCTTTAAATGTGGCAATATGTTCTCTGATATATAATGTGGAAGAATGGAGGGGGTTGGAGGGGTTTAATCAATCTGGTTGTACTTATCATTCCAAGCTAATTCATTTAATATCACCCTAAAAATAAGCCCAATTTCTTTTGTGATATAGGACTGTTCGCTGCTGTTGCCCGCCTAGAGAACATACCTGACTAATGTTCTGTGTGTTTTGTATGAAAGTATAACTGGAAGTATAATTATCAATTATTAGGGCTCGCACCCGACTGTAGGCTCTTTTGTCGGGGAAAAGATACGACTGGTACCTATGAACTATCATTAGGCATTGAATGTAATGTTGTTAGAAGGTTTCCATCCATTGAACTTACTTACCCTTATGTTTTTATACTTATTGAATAAAAGTTTTAACAAATCTGGTAACAGCCAAAATTAGTGTCTTATAAATGGCTACCTATGTCATTTCTAAATTTGGTACCAACATTCTGTGACCATGGTAATGAAAATGGACTTGGTATGGTATTGTTAGGGACTTGGTAATGAAAAGATATCAAAAATCCCCCCCCCCCCCCCCCCCCATTTTCCGGTCAAGTAGGCAAATGACCAAACATTTCCTCACATTAAATCACATACTCATCATCCCCAAATAATCACCGCAGTTTACAACAGTTTGGTTTATTACACGCAATAATATCGGACAAGTAATCCAAACATGCCGGCATCGTCCCCTCTCTAATTAGATAAGCCAGCATCTCAATTTGTCGCTGTATTGTGCGTTTGACAAATTATAAAGTCCGTGACAGTAAAATGCTTTTAATCAAAGAGGAGGTCAGACCCCGATCAGGAGCAATAACACGATTAGCCCCTCTTATTTGTCAATATGTCTGATGATGCGTCTTGTTCCGGGTACATTTACCACAGTTCCCTGTCAGCTCTTGTAACTGTGGAGTTTTCAGAGGGACTCACCGGCCCGGGCCTTCCCGATAACCGGTACAGGGGTGAAATTCAATCCATTAAACCGAAAATATTTGACTGTTACTGGTTATAAATAGCCGGTTGATAGTGGAGCAAGGAGGCGCAATTACTGCTCAATTCAGATTTAACGTGTGCCTAGGACCGGACATTCCGTAAGCAGTGCAAGTGCGCTCTCTCATTATCGGCAATTCATCGGCTAGTACTGCGTTCTAATGGCTCCCACAGAGATTGCTCTATACCAATAGTGCAACAGAGCTGTTTGAAAGCCAGAGTCAGCCAATGGGGGGAGCTATGCGGAGCTTGTGAAAAGCAGCCAATCAATCAGGACGGAGATACGGAGAGAATGTTAATTAATTACTTTCTCGTGGTTTAAGCAGAACTAGGGAGGGAGAGCCGGAAGAGGACCTGAAATGAGTTGTGGTGATCAGTGCTTTATGCCTGTCACGTGATCAGTGATCTCTGGGGTGGGTTTATTGTGGTTTGAGGCCGTCGTGATAAAGCTGGGAAACTATGAAATGAAAAGATTGCGTTGGTTTTCTTAGCTGTAGATGAATTGGTCAAACCTTTACGAGGTCAAGGTTTGTGAGAGTGAAGCTATTGTCTCCGCTGTGGCTAGCCACACACCACTCTACAGTGTAGAGTGGTGTAGAGTCTACACTTGTCCCATGTTATAATGTACCTAAAGTTACAGTATTAGCAGCTTGTCCTGGTATACAGCATTCAGCATCCTGGAATCAGTCCCTTGTATCTTCTCAAGTGTAGAGCTAATAGTTTTTAAAGGTCTGTGTGAAGATTTCTAGAAGTTTGGTTTCTTAAGCCTGCTAGGAGAATCATGTCGCTCTTTCAGAGCTTATTTGAATAGTGGTGAGATGGATTAGGTCAAAACTTAGACCAGTGTTCGATTAATCTACTGGTCTAACGAAATGCAGGCAGACCTAGGAAATTATTGTTGAAAATTTTTTGAAACGAACTCGCGAGTTAAAAGCGATGTTCTCTGAGGAGCGCCTAGCAAACTGGATAAGGTGTTCAGCAGATGATCTGTAACCCAGGTAACCTGTACTCTGTGTCACCTGGTGTCAGCCCGCCAGATGCTGACTATACTGAGTCTAAGCTTTAGCTAGGAGGAGTCTATACCTCAAGAATGTGAGACCGGGGATCCGTTTCCTTGGAGATAGGCACAGCTTGACACGGTGTACCTGCAAACAATATTCATTATTCTTATAATTAAATGACGAATTTGTCATAATGCTTGCCTTTGAGCTGTGCATTCAGACCACGGGACTGCTGCTCTGGCATTTCAAAAATCGTTTTCCTATCCCGGCCGCAAAATTAATTTTATGGTTATTATAATGTTAAAATTAGGGCTATCGAAAAGAAAATATTTGAATGATTCAGGACAATGGGAATTGGTTGTTCAGGCAGATTGTATTTAGCTTCACCATCCTTCAACACTCCTCCCATACTTTTCATATTCGATTAGACTAAATTATCTTGCCCTAAAATTTGGATGAAATCCAATTATTCTCAAGTCAAGCTTTGTTTGTCCTTGATAGCTCTAGACAGCGTGGAATTTACTGACAGATTCACGGTGTCCAGGAGTGAGACTGCGATACTGCTTAACCCTGTCATCTCTCCAAACAGAGAGAGAGAGAGAGAGAGTGAGACCACATATAGATGTTGTGATCTGATTTCATCATATACTTACATTTAATTTAAAGCGCGGAGAGAGAGAAAGAGAGCTGTGAAGTGAGAAGCAAGTTCGGCACCCTTAATTAAATAGAGTGAAACACAGAAAATATATGATATCAGGGATCAACGTTTGACATGCAGCTGTGTACGGAATTTCCTATTTTGTGGGATGTGCAGTGTTAAGATCACGTTTATATTTTCTGACCACAGCCACTTATTACACTGCCACTATTTTACAATGAGATCTACAACAACGCACAGGACTGCTTGTCTGCTGGACACTCTCCCACTTCAGATCAAACTTCACCGCACAAACACACACACAACCGCACAAACACACAGTTCACAATTTGTTTTAAAATGAGGGAACATCTCTTCAGATTACCGAATTATCGTACGACACTAATTTGCCTTATACTAGTTTCTTTGCAAGTATACCGATAAAACAAATGAGATTAAATCAGCGGTATATACCTGAAATTGCCTCTCTCCGATAACAAATTAGACAAATTTCAATCGATTGTCTGTATAACAACCAATGACCAAACCAATGACCCAACACTCATTTCAGAATCAAAGCCTGATGTTTCAGTTTCCCTTCTACGGAGAAGACTTTACAGATCTGAAGATAACTACTCAAGGTATGCATTGCACTGAAGCTGGCCAACTTTCAGGTCCGCTTCTACATAACCACTATCTTAATCCAGCTTTGCAGAGCTGGCGGCACAAGGTCTAGAAGGTAGAATCGCGGTAGGGTACACGTGCCACAACTCCTATTCATCTGTGAAGTTGTTAGAAAGTTCCAGCTCAGACGACGAGTCTAGCACTGTTCAGTTGGATCAGCGGGCATACTTTAGACCTTTACACAGCTCCCCCGCCATCCTCAGAACAATACATTCCATTCAAACTACTATAGCTGTATTCCGGACTCTCTCTACCCGTATCTATCTCTCTCTCTCTCCCTCTCTCTCTCTCTCTCTCTCTCCTCTCTCTCTCTCTCTCTCTCTCTCTCTCTCTCTCTCTCTCTCTCTCTCTCTCTCTCTCTCTCTCTCTCTCTCTCTCTCTCTCTCTCTCTCTCTCTCTCTCTCTCTCTCTCTCTCTCTCTCTCTCTCTCTCTCTCTCTCTCTCTCTCTCTCTCTCTCTCTCTCTCTCTCTCTCTCTCTCTCTCTCTCTCTCTCTCTCTCTTTCTCTCTCTCTCTCTCGCTTATCACATGTTAGACGACTCTAAAATTTTCACTTATACACAACTGAGTTAATTGTCAGGGAGATTTTGTTGAGTAGCTCTCACTGCTGCTGCTGACTTGACTGGGAATTATAACCCCCGGCTCTCTTACTCTCTCTCTTTGACAGGTTAACTTCTGACGTCAGTCCCATGAAAAAAGTTGTGAAAATCGCCGGGTTCTGATTGAATGTTTTGTCTGGAAGTTGGATATGTCCTTGGAGATAGGCATAGAGAGAGTGAGAGAGAGAGAGAGAGAGAGAGAGAATAATATTTAGCGCTGTAAAAACTCTTAGAATACTTAATGTTAATGTGCGTGTCGTCTGTAAAAGTTTTGTAAAGCTATAAAACCCATATATTATATAATATATGAGGGAGAGTGTCAGGACCTCTAATACAGAAGTCGGGGAATATGAAAACTTTAAAGTTGTAGTCGACATTTATTAAAACCCTTCCAATCTCACGGTCTTGTAGGATACACTGTAATTTCTGTGTGAGATTGATGGAACATGGCTGTTCAACCATGCAAAATGCAAACACAATGTTCTCAATTAGACTGATGATCCAGCTTCAATCGGACTTATTGATCATCATTACGTCACATAAGATGAGAGGTTAATGTCGCTGCACTTCAATCAATAAGTATTTAATTAAATTATCCATGCTAAAGAATATATTATTATTGTTCGCTATGGTCTAGGTTCCTCTCCTAAAAAATGCATTTTTTTGGCTTCAATTTTTTTTCGAAAGCTCCCCATTCTTCGGATCGAAACGCAACAAATCATGGTTAAAAAGTTAAGTGCGTAATTTCATTTAAACGGAGGCTGGCGGGGCCACACAAATTGAGATATGTAATTACGGGGGACAATATAAAACTGAGTGTAAGAGATAAGGGAAGAGGTGATAATTTGTCAGATTTGATCCGGTCTGGCCAATGAGCTGACTTCTTACTCAACCATCACTGCACAGCCCTTCATTCAATTAGCGTCCCTCGTTATCCGCTGACTCAACTAAACGTCATGTATTTAATTTTAAACGGAGGTTACAGCGTGTTTCCCCAGAAAATTGGCCCCCCCCTTTTTGGTCGAAACATTATTACACTGATCAGAACAGTAATGGTTGTGTCACGCGGGGCAATGACCTGTGATTTCAGCACTGGGAACACCTCTTCTCTGGACCCTGATTTAATCAGGTAAATTCCGTCAAAAGCACTAGCTCCCCACCAAGTAAGCTTCAAGTCGCCATCCTATCTCCGCTCAAGGTGGCCAGTCAGAGAGCCATGATTAAGAACAATGGTGAATACAGTATCTTATATCAGGTTCTCAGAGTAGCTTTGAAAAGTAAAAACAATGGCCAGACTAAGAGACTGGCAGAGGAATGTTGAGAAACCCCGGCAAATGTCTGGCTGGAGACGGACCTCTCTCTCTCTCTCTCTCACGAACTCTAGGGCGGAGGAGGGGGTAAATCCGGTGTGGAATCCTGGGAGTAAACTGGGTTTTGTAACGCCGAGTACTTACAAGTTTCTAATACTAACATGTCTTACTCGACATTAGTCTCACCAAGTGGGAGGTACTTTATATTGGGACACTTTCCAGGTCACATGGTATTATTATTATTACAGCTGCAGATTCCAGCAGGATTACATTATGTTTGTCACCCCTATTATAGGTTACATCTAGTGTCAATGTTTGGTTACTGTATACTGTATACACACAGTAAGAGATCCTCCCACATTTCACATGCGAGTGCCAAACAGAGAGAGAGAGAGAGAGAGAGAGAGAGAGAGAGAGAGAGAGAGAGAGAGAGAGAGAGAGAGAGAGAGAGAGAGAGAGAGAGAGAGAGAGATAGAGAGGGGTCTACTACCACCACCACCTCGGATAATATGTGTCTGAAGAGAAGTAGGAGTTAAATAACTGCGGAAATGGTGTTTGTTACACGCAGGGTTAATTAGCGTGTCAAACCCTTGTAGGTACTTCCACCTCCTAGTCTGGTGTTAGTCTGTACCTCAATTATAGGATCAGGTCGGGTTGCACTCTCATCATTATTATTGTTGTATCAGGAATCTGGCAGCATTCCAGTACATGATATTATTGATAACCTGGTATCGGATCTCACCCTGACTAACTAGATTGTCACCGTTAACATGACCATGTTATGACAAATTCTCATGACAATTGCCAGACTCTCTTCACATGTATTCCGTATATGGTATACATACTCCTTCATAATACTCCTTTATAATACTCCTTCATGATATGCCCATATTTAGGTGGTTGCCAATACACCTGTTATAACACAGTACAGAGACCTCCCAACAGATTACGTGATTACCATTTATAGTACCCCAATTACTACACAGAACTCGTCAACAATCTTACCAGACCTCTTTCTTACTAGAAATTTGCTGGAGCATGTAACTGGTTACGGGATAACTGGCACTTGGCAGTGCTTCTAACGGTATATTACCGCTCTACTAACCCAAATATACCGCATCCTGCCGCTCAACTAACGATCCTAGCTTCTTCCGTAGTTTCGACCTTTTGGGGGTTTATGGGTTTTATAAATATAAATAGCCCGTGTATTTGTTGCACTCCTATTTTTATTAAATGATCTATTATCAGACACATGTTATACGGGCTCGAGTTTAAGTTCATTAATCATAAGGCTATAAAACTGGGTGTGTATCAACAATAAAGCCAAAGACAATAACAATGGGGCCTATCCCCGATTTAATATAATCTAGAATGTTCTGAAATTTCAATTTGTATGTTTAAAACTTATGAGATTGAAATGTTCAATATTATAACACCCTCTCTTTCTCAGGGTTTATAAGTCTAAGTGATGTGATAAGTAGCACACAGTACATCGCCCCCCTTATGGCTAACTTCAAGCCTCTCCCTGCAACCAACCCAACCCAAGACATTCGACTTCTTTACAGCAGCGACAGTGTCATCATTCAGTGGTTAGTGTTTAGTAAATAAATTTTAAGTAACAGGATTACTACACTGACTGGCGACAGATTGGGTTCCCTTTTTTTACAGTTTCGACAAGCACCGTCCCGTGTAACGAATGCCGACATACCCCGCTGAATGGGATTTAATCCTAGAATAATTGCTGGCGAAACTGTTCCGACCTCCAAACAGTCCCCTAACTGGCTCCAATAGCTATCAGGGACGACCAGGAGCTAACCACAGTGTTTCACTACTGACCTGGAGATAGATCGTACCTGGGTCCGACTGGAACACACTCAGCTATCTGTATTAACCCCCTCTCCCATCCTCCTACTAACTCGCTCTAAATGTTATCACAGTTAATTTCTTTATTAAAACCTCAATATAAACCCACTTCTGAAACTTTACCACCATCACGAGGCTGGCTCGCCACCAAGCCATGGCGGACGGGTTAAAGTCAAAAACAGATCACTGCTTAAGACCTGGGGATCTAGACCTCTTTTAGACAATAGACCAGCTCTAGACCAGTTCTTGAGTGGTTCTAGCACGGTGGTCCGGGTTTAATCTAATTATCGGAAACTAAAATATCCTTTCATCTGACTCTGCGTACTATGGCATACCTCTGGTACCCTTATTTACTCCTCGCTTGGACCCTAAATATATTTCAAGAGAAATTAAAAGACTCGCACAGCTTGCAGTGATCTCACGTATTTATCTTTTCAGGGGCAAAATGCTGTTAGAGTCACAAAGTTCAGCAGGACAGTTCGACTTTCAACTGAGATTGGACGTGACTGGAACCATCTATATGCTCTATAAAACTGTTCCACTGCCCATAGAGGATGTGAGTATATAATATCCAGGACAGACGTTTTGTCTCCACTTTTTATTTATTTATATTTTGGTTTTCTTTATTAAACTCTTCAGTTGGTCTAAAATTTGGTCCAAGGAATGTCGTAGTTGTGCAAATTATCTCTATTATTAAATACCTGATTTCTAAGTTTTCAATAATTCCACCGTTTCTCCTGGCACGATTTCGAACTTAATTCCTAATTTGTATTTATTATGTTAATAATGGGCCTTCGCAACTTACCTGGGTCTGGCTTCACAATTTCTATGACGACTGTTGTGAAGAGGGAGGCCATATCACTCCAAAATATCTTCCATACTGCATTACAAAGCCAGGATTATGATAATGTCCCGGACTGAGCTAAAACCCACCTCTCCCACAACCCACTCTTCACCCACTCTTCCTAGTCCACTTCAGCACGATAAACCGATTATCTGAATTATGTTTTATATTATTCGAACTACACACCATTATCCGATAACAAGGTCTAAGTGGCAGTAATTATGAGCTCATCAATTTATTGGCTTCTCCTTTTCCTCTCCCTCCCTCTCCCTACCTCTCCCTCCCTCTCCCTACCTCTCCCAGTCTCCCTACCCTCTCTCTCTCCATCACTCTCTCTCTCTCTCCATCACTCTCTCTCTCCTTCACTCTCCATCACTCTTTCTCTACACTCTACTCTTCCACCAAATCCGGTAATCGGAATGAAAACTGTAGTTGTGAGATGCGGGAGAGTGGCACCAATAAGAACAGATCACCCTTCATCCTCATTGTAGTACTTAGGGGTGTAAGGCTGATACCTGGCACACTCTATTTTATTAGTCGTATCTCATAGCACACGCTGGAGCTACTCTGAAAATAAATCCTGAGAAGTTGGGATGTAACTGGTCTAAGGTTCTGAAGAGAGGTCATGGTGCCAGGTTTAACGGTTAATTTTTGGGTTAAAATGAATTGTAGGTTATTAGTGGTGATGTCAGATACCCCGGTATTATGAGTATAGAATAATGTGGCCGGGAATGTATGATCTCTGATTTTGGGGATGAAAAATGTTTAATTGGTAGTCCGTCGCTTAATGATCTGTACCCTTAGTAATGTATTAATTTGTTAATTAGATGAATTTCATTCCAATGGGATACTCACTACTCAGCAATGACTCTAGCTCTACACTAACTAGCCATTAACATGCCAACCTCTCCTAACCATATTGTATTTCAGATCGACATGAACGACCATCAAGTTACGGCGGGGATCTCGGGGGGCCACGCCGAGGGGAAGACAACCCCGATACCATACGATACTATCTCCCTGACAAACGTCACTTCTAACAGTACTTATATCCTTAAACCCATCGCCACGTGCCTAGGTTAGTTGATGTTATTACCTGTTTGGAATGGTCGTTTATTGATCAACTTTTATTTTTTATCTTGTTGGTTAATATTTTATTATTGCGTAAAAAGTGTGCCAGAGTTAATCCAATTATTTCATAAGCATACAGGATTTAATCCAATTATTTATGCAAGTAACTGTGAGTATATCCAAGTAGTTCTGTATTATATATAAGTATCTGTTATCTGTAATAATGATGTGAGTGTGTTTGATTGAGCATAGTCAAAAGTACCAAGCACTGGAACTGTTGAAATACCAAGTTTGATCTCTAAGTAGCACTCAGGGAGTTGGTATTTCAACAGAGTACCAACTCTCACTCGATCATCTCTGTCCGGAGTGCAGGGAGTTGAAATGTATGTTGAAATTCCCCCTCCCTCACCCCGGAGTGCAGGGAGTTGAAATGTATGTTGAAATTCCCCTTCCCTCACCCCGGAGTGCAGGGAGTTGAAAAGTATGTTGAAATACCCCCTTCCTCACCCCCGGAGTGCAGGGAGTTGAAATGTATGTTGAAATACCCCCTCCCTCACCCCGGAGTGCAGGGAGTTGAAATGTATGTTGAAATGCCCCCTTCCTCACCCCCGATTGCAGGGAGTTGAAATTCCCCCTCCCTCACCCCCGGAGTTCAGGGAGTTGAAATGTATGTTGAAATACCTCCTTCCTCACCCCGGAGTGCAGGGAGTTGAAATGTATGTTGAAATACCCCCTCCCTCACTCCGGAGTGCAGGGAGTTGAAAAGTATGTTAAAATACCCCCTCCCTCACTCCGGAGTGCAGGGAGTTGAAAAGTATGTTGAAATACCCCCTCCCTCACCCCGGAGTGCAGGGAGTTGAAATGTATGTTGAAATTCCCCCTCCCTCACCCCGTAGTTGCAGGGAGTTGAAATGTATGTTGAAATACCCCCTTCCTCACCCCGGAGTGCAGGGAGTTGAAATGTAAGTTGAAATACCCCCTCCCTCACCCCGGAGTTGCAGGGAGTTGAAATGTATGTTGAAATACCCCTCCCTCACCCCGGAGTTCAGGGAGTTGAAATGTATGTTGAAATACCTCCTTCCTCACCCCCGGAGTGCAGGGAGTTGAAAAGTATGTTGAAATACCCCCTCCCTCACCCCGGAGTGCAGGGAGTTGAAATGTATGTTGAAATTCCCCCTCCCTCACCCCGGAGTGCAGGGAGTTGAAATGTATGCTGAAATTCCCCTTCCCTCACCCCCGATTGCAGGGAGTTGAAATGTATGTTGAAATACCCCTCCCTCACCCCCGATTGCAGGGAGTTGAAATGTATGTTGAAATTTCCCCTCCTTCACCCCGGAGTGCAGGGAGTTGAAATGTATGTTGAAATGCCCCCTTCCTCACCCCCGGAGTGCAGGGAGTTGAAAGATGTACACATCTCCGTCCTCACACTCAGATCTACACAAGACCAAAGTGAACACATACAAATTCTGTAATTTCTAATTAGTGTGTCATTAATGCTAATCAGCTATCCATTACTTAACGTCTAGTCTTCCACCCGTACATTTCTCTGATATGACAGTAGAATGTTGACCTCCACAGAAGAAATCTCTTAGATTCCTTTTAATGGGCCGGTGAGGCTCGCTTTAACCATGTACTATGTCTACTTTTGAGATGCCAGCCTTTGTTATCACCAGTGTACACTGTTCAGTCTCCTATTTCCCCGGCTCTTGATAAGATACTCCGGACCAAATTGACATCTGTATATCTGGTAATGATAATAAGAAAATCTGTGATTACGAATTTATGAATAACCTAAACTGGTGAAGGCTCTTTAACCTGTGTTCCTTCTCTCTTTACGTCTGCACTAATAGTCAGAACAGTATTTGAGATGTGGTTAGGATTGCTGGGTTTAGACAACCACCACCATACACCCCGTGCTATCACTACGACTACAAGTACTGTTCCACGTATCCCCCAGACTTCAAACACACACGGCACGACAAAGATTATCTACTTGTATTGTCTGAGAGAGTAAAACTATCTTAACTATTTTGGTTCTTAAATCCTCTCTCTCTCTCTCTCTCTCTCTCTCTCTAGCTACCCTACCCTACCTTGGTGGACTGAGTGAGATATGTTTTATAATATCTCGTACATTCACGGGAGGACGACTTCCGAAAATACCAGATATTATTATTTTTGGTATACTGACCACATGTTTTTTTAAAAGATTTTTCTGTCCAGTTTATCCCACCTTTATAAAGACGATACGAGATTTGTAGAACTTCCCGGCCAGTCTAATATAATTATTAATGTACAATTTCAGAGCTGGTTACAGACATAGAACTGTAAGATGGAATTATTGACCTGTTATTTTTTATTAAACCTCACCATTGGGACAATCAACAGTCTAACCCATGTGCAAGGAAAATAATTTGCTGGCAGCTAGCCAATAAGAGCGCGTCTGCTCGTCTGCCCGCCAATCAGGCGACTTGTGTTCCATCACGTGACAGTCACATGAGCCTAGGCAAAGTTTAGTGCTCCGCATTGAAGTGTTGACAAGGTCCACCGATTACTGCAATTGAGGTCTGTAATAGTACTAACTTAGCCCGCCTTTTAGCAGGTCATCAGTGGTATAGTGGCCAACAAAGACAGCTCTTTACCGTTGAGGAAAGCGGCGGAGGAGGGTGGCGCGTGTGGCACCTTCAGACGGCACCGCCTCGTACCACCCCCTCTATTTTATCCGTATATCCAGCTGAGCAGCACAAGTAGCTGCCAATTGTTTAAAATGTCGCTAAGCGGTCGGTAGGGGTTTCTTCACGGGATTGGGTGGTTTCAGTGACCTGTTAGAGCAGTGCGTTGCTTGCCAGCGCGAATCCCAGGACCCACCCAGTGCCAGAACACTGGGCTTCCCTAACTGAAACTCCCGGTCTCCTGGCAAGCAATCAACCGGAACGTACTACGTGCTAGCTGGTAATTGTAGGAGATCTTGTTGTAATTAGCTAATTATTGTAATTAGGGGACTGTCCTGTGCTAATGAACCGTGGGAAGATGTATCTCAAAGTCAGATGAATGTTTTGTAAGTTTAGAAAGAATATTTGGAATGAAAATTGGAAAAGGATACATTTACGTAGCTGACAAGCTCAGAAAATAAGAACATGTTTCCAGAACCCCCCTCTCCACTAGCCGGAATTTAAGTAAGATTGGCAAACCGGTGAAGCTTTAGTACTTCTAATTTACAATACTGCCCTGTTTTAAATAGTTTGTAACTTTCGGGCAGAAAAAAATTACTATCTGATATTATTCTTCCGTTGAATAACGTAACGAAAAGTCAGAGGGAGAACGCCACAGAAGCAGTATAAGGGCGCCAGTAAATTTGAATTACCTAAAGATAACCATTTACTGATTTACTTGGAATCATTAGAAAAGTTTTCATCGGCATTGAAGTAAATTTCGTTCTAGGAAAGTTGCAAGATTCGAATGATCCCGGATTGAGAACCTGTCGTAAATGGACATTTCCCGCCGGTTTTAAACTTCTTTTTTTAAACATTGGAAAGGGCAAAATTGAAGAATTAATTCTAAGAATTAATTTAAAGCAGCTATGTCGATTAAATTCCGAAGGACGGCAAGGGTCTAACGTTTTAAACTAATTGAACAACATTTCTTGAGAATTTAAAAATCAGGTACCAAGACAAAATAATCGAATGTTACTTTAGTTTTTCTCTTGGATTAACACTCACTCTTTTCAGACCAGAAGAACTGCAGCTCGTGTACCAACTGGAGTGGTATGTGTTATTGGTGCCCCTCTTTGCAGCAGTGTTCAACCGGCCAAGACAGGTACGTCTACTTCTCGCATGACCAAATAAGGTAACCACGTGATATTGGATAAAACGTGGGTCTACATTTGGCGTGGGAGAATCCCACGTTTTCAGCCCTGAACTTTGGGTGAAATTCCCAGCAGCACCAGTCAGCAAACAGAAGATCTGTCAAGAAGATCATTCGAGAAGAACCATAAGTCTGGGTGATATTGAGGTGAAGCCCCGGTGTTGTGCCGAGAGATCTGAGATTTAGTAGTGAAGTTTTAAATTACCTGACAGATCATTGGCGTGAGACAGAGGCCGGGATAGCCGGCTATGTGTCAACAGAACGTGCTATTCAGACTAGTAAACTATATAAAACTACAGAGTACACTTTATATAGGGCTCAGGTGTACACATGTGTGACATTATACGTTAACTAACAACTCTATCCCTCTCTAGGCTGAAGGACAAGTGGCTTAAGGCCAACTGTTTAGCATCAGCAACCAAAGAGTGCAGCGGCTCCGCTACTCCACAATCCTTCGGGACGTCCCCAACCACGCATCCCTTCTCCACCTTCTCAATGTCCCACTCTCCGGTGAAGGAGCAGCCGACCCACCCCTCCACCCCTCCCTCCCACACCACCGTCAAACAGCCCGTACCACCGGGACAGAACACCACCACTATTAACAACAATACCGATATAATAGACAATACTAAAGCGGGTGTCGGCACCACCGCACCACAACCCGAGCACACCACGCACGTGCCTACTAACAATCCCGTCAGCTTACCGGTGATATATGTGATCCTGATTGTTGCTTCCTCCCTCTCTTTCATCCTAGTTGTATCAGGTGAGACGATCTTTTTTATCTTCATCAATTATATACAATGTACATCAAGATTGAATACATAAAGAATGTTACGATTGTGTTACTTTCTGTGTGCCACTTTATATCTAATCAGCATATATTTCTATTATGTATTGATATCTTTCATTAATACGATAACATCTTTCATTCATATTAAATTTACATATTCAAATATCACAATGGAACTCTCCAAAGATGTAACAATATAAAATTCGTTCACATACCATTCACCCTTCCGTTTATCCTGCATAGATATAATAAATGGTAATTTTTAATACGTCCATCTAATGAATCTATTGATCTTCAATTATACTCCCTAATAAAATTGCTACAATAGAACATTGTAACAATACGAGCTCAACAACCCCACCATATTCAAGAAGACCCCCATCACCTCATGTATGGACTCCGATAAGCCGGACATTAAAACGTTTGACACTCTGTAGGAGAGGCGTTGTTCATATGTTATAATGGAGTGAACTAGACGGTGAAGGCCCTCAAGTAGTCAGGATGCACGTGTTGTACCTCTAATTATTGGAGGTTGTCTCTCTCTATCTCTCTCCGGTCCGGTTATCTGGATCCCACGACCGTCAACACCGGGATTTACTGGGAGAACCATTGGGTTCACTGCAGACTCTTTAGTTTTAATGAGTTCGATGAAGATTGATTTTTAACTGGCTCTTGGTAGACTCTTGGCTGGCTATTGATAGACTCTTGGCTGGCCCCCTGACTGACCTTTGAGTCTTGACAGACTTCAAATTGGCTCCAAACTGGCTCCACACTAACTACTGACCGACTTCTTGACTGAGTTCTAAAATGTTTTTACATGTATGTGCTTTTCAAACAATCCACCTGCACTTCGGCGTCTGTACCACTTTGATAGTTACTTGGTATTATTAATACAGCAATGTTAACTGTGAAAACTTAGACTAGCGAGAAAACTTAGAGTTCGTGATAGAAGCATGAGTATGAAGTGAAAGAAGTTCGGATCTATAAAATTACCGTGTCAAAAATTGTTAAAATCTTGTTGTGCACAGCTAGTATATCTATATACTACGTGACGAAGTTGATATAAAACAAGTAGCAGAAATACGGGAGAATTGTTAATAATTGTATCTAATCTGAAGTTGCTAAGATGTACATTTCACAAAATTCCGATAGCTCCACTGTGGAGCCAGTTCGGAGCCTATGTCGAGTCAGCTCACAGAAGTTGTTACTTGTTTAAAATTCCTCAGACCTAGTACTATTCTCAATTCCCACAGAGTCGCTCCTTTAGGCTACTGGCACTGCAGTTAGCCTTATAGCTAATGTCCTTGCGATAGAGTCATTCTAACTCTGGGCTAATGCTTTAAACGCTGAAAATTTAGAAATAATCGTTTGGCCTTATTGGCTTGCCAGACGCCGTACAGTACTTGGTGATTTCGTTTAACTCCGCCACAATTTCGAAACTTTTTGCCGAACAATTTCACCCTCCGTAATGAGTCAGTAAAGCGTGGGTTAGCAGCGATTGGGAGAGATTTACCAGTGGGCTATCGTGGGATAGTTCGCTGTAATGTCTCCATTGAAGGATAATATGAAAGTAGGGTTATTTCACATCCACATCAGATACAGTTCAAACTGTGCTGGCGTAGATAAAAAAGAAAGAATGTGTGTGTAGATTTAGACTGGTTCCTGGTTACTTACTGGTTCCTGTGGAGTGTGGAGGGATATTGGATGGTATAGTCTCAAACTATCTACCTACAATCAGGTTTTAGAGTTCAAATAAAACAATAGTTGAGTACTCCACCGTATGGTCACAAAAACTCGAAGCAACAAAACAATCCATAGTAAATTATTTACAGTCCACTTGTGTCAACTAGCTCGCTGGCTGGCAGCGCTCCAAGAACCAAGTCCTTTCAAACGTTACAACCTCATGAAATAAGCGATTACTGTAAATTAAGATTAGCTCCTCTGCAGCAGCAGCTCTATTAAAACTGTTATAGAAATGTCTAGTATCTACCTACCAAAAGTACAGCAGCTGTCAAAGCAACAAGAGCAGGTATGGACACTATCCAAACAACCACCGCATCAGGAATCCCTCCCACCAGAGAAATAAAGATAACATACCACACACAACCGATAGCCTCTCCACCGAACACAAACCCAAAGTTAAGGGCCATGTTTTCAGGTCCCATAACCCGCTTTATGACAGGAGGCATCATGTTAGTCATGCCTGTACTGATGGCCAGTAAACCACATACCACTACGTACACCTCCCGAGTGGGCCGAGTCACGTACATCATTACCTGGAGGAATGCCGCCATTCCATCTCCTATAACCAGGAGCATCCAAACTGGGAGAAGATCCCCTGCTATCCCCCATGCTAGTCTCCCTAGAGCCCCTATGATTGGCAGAGCAACCCCGAAGTTGTTGAGGAAGATGTCACTGTGGTTGTAGGTGGGTAGTTTTAGGGCGAAGTCTTTGTAGAGATCAAATGCACAGAGAGTAGTGAGTCCTATCGTTATTCCACTCAGGAATAATAGCACCGCTGTAAGGGAAGCAGTTTAAACTGAGAGATGTGTTAGGAAACTGTTGTTTTTTGCATATTTTATGTTTTGCATGATCTAACAGTTAAATCGTAGCCCGGATGGCGTCAACAAGCCAGAGTTACTACGACTGCGGTACAGTCCTAAACACACACTTTTAAAGCTTTTGTAGGTCATGCTTACCTAAGACGCAGATAGGGGTGGCTGTTTTATAGTCCTGCCATGGCATCAGCTCTTCGTAATCATCATCAGCTCTCATGCTCAGTTCACTCTTTTTAGTAGCATGATCCAAATCTTCCTCACTCGTTTCTTCCTCTGTCTTGATGAAAATTAAGCCTGGTAGCAGGAGTATAAAGACCATGCCTGCCAACAGGAGCCAGACGTACGGGACTCTCTCCAGAACGCTGCTGTCCGTAAAAATATAGTCACCTGAAACAGTACGGACATGTCATTGAGCTCCCGATTAGGGTTTCGTTATATGCCTCTCTCTCTCGGGCATTATTACTAATATATTAATATCATAATAACATGCAGCTCTGTGGTATAGCTGTGTAATATTATGTACACCCAGTGTGTATATTATATATATTTATATATAATAATAAAATATATGCCGACTTGACGACATGTGGGTAGGTTAGTTAGACAATGCCACGACGTATTTTATAAAGGAGTCAATGGACGGGTGACATGTCTGGTTTGTGTCTCTAATTTTGAGGCGCTACGTAGAGAACTAATTAGGCCGATTATTTTGGAGTTTCGGAGACAAAAGACCGAGATTATAGAATGCAGAGCTGGGATTTAAGGTATGCCGTATTTGAGGGTTGGGGGTTTGAGCCATTGTTCAAATGCAAATCCTCATCCTGGTTTAGGGTTTGAGACGGAATTACCAAGTCAGTGTGATCGATTGACAATGGGAATCCTGAATTATACGCTGTGGTCGTGTTTTGAATATTATAATCATGTCTATTCGCCATAACCTACACAAAAGTAAGTAGCGCCTGGAGGCCCCCCCCCCTATAACCTACTGAGTCTCTATATATTGAGTCTCTATATATTGAGGCAGCCAAACCCGATCTAATACAGCTTCACCCCGCGCGCTAGAAGATATGTTAGGATATATTTATCTCTATGGTAATGATGTAAACCAACTGCCTGACAGTCTACAATCACTCGTCTGTAGTTAGGAGGCACCTAGAAGAAGCGTGCGAATAATTGGACCGCTAATGAATTGTGGAAGATAATAGCCAGCTTGCATGTGTGCGGTGTGTATGTCAGAGAGGTTGGGCCACATCATCATCAACTGCTGCTGCTGCTATTTGTAGGGAGCTGCGTGGTAACCGTGTATTATGTATACTATAAACTACTGTATGTCGTTAGTTTATTGAAAAGCTAGCTTGAAATTTGTGAGATGCCATTTCTGATGACGTAAGTAGTATTGGGATGGTTTTTGGTTAAACGACAAACGTCTATAACATATTCTGGGATATATAAGTTGGGCAGTCGTTAGTAAATATGTGGTTTGTGAATAACCAAATAACCAAAAAAGCGGTGGGGATGGATGCATCACATACCATTACTATTGTTAATGTTTTGTTTCTCAATGTTCCGGGGATTAAGGAATGTGCTGCCCAGAATGTTGCCCCATATTCCGGACATTCCAAAGAATAGTCCGTATATCCCACTTGCCAATGAGGGGTACCTGCAGAAGATAGGACACTTTTATAGACTGTCAACAATATGGTAAATTTTCCACTTTCGTTTATAACTTTATAACTTTAATATGTAAAATATTAAACTTTCTAGAGTATTCTATTTCTGCGACAGTAATTGTAACTAAAATGGTAGAATATTATAGCTAGTCGTTTAACGTTATAAATTTTTTGTTATTAAGCAAAATTTGTTTCCCTTTTACTTTCATAAGTTAAATCGAATCTCAATTATAAGTGCCTTATGTCATAAGACCCTTATAATTGAGATTAGATTTAACTCATCAAAGTCAGAGGAAAGCACATTTGGCCTTATAAATTAAATCTCCAGTAAAATGATTTATAACAAAAATAAAAGGTTCGTCTGTACCTGCTTACTCTATTCACGACAGTCGAGAGAAAATAAACATGCAGCATTCCATAACTAAGACCAATACCAGCCATGCACACAGTAACCACCACATAACTCTGACAACCACAGAACAGCACTAAACACCACCCACACATGGCGCACGTGTTGGCACAGTGGAGGAGCCGCGCGCTGATCCAGCGTGTTAGGTAGCCCTGTAACCAGCCAGTGCACGCTGCTATTCCAAATATTAGAGGGACGTGCAGGTGGCACTGTTTAATGGTGAGTGTAGGGTCGTGTTGGTACATGTAGGAGTAGATGTACACTTGGATTACACCGTAGGAGAAAGCAATGATGTTGCAGCCGTGGCCTCCCAACATGCAGAGGAATAGCTCGAGTAGGGCTCGGTTATTCATGACCTGTATCTGAGGAATGTCTTATCAGGTCTGACCTCGTGTTCGATTTAAAATAGATAAAATATCACAACTTTCTAGAAAAATGGGATAAAATGATGAAATGAGTCTGCAAAGGATGATTAAAATAAATCACTAAATTAAGTTTTGCATTTGATGCTTTTAGTGAGAAGGGGGGGGGGGGGGGGGGGGGAGCAACTGGCTGAATGGTTGATCAATAATTACTGAAAACCTTCAGGTTTACCAGGCCATGGTAATTATAGAACAATTCCATTAAAACGTTCAAAAGGTAACAAATGAGGTAAACGGGAAAGAAATTGCAACCATAGTAGTAGTTGGAGAAAATGTACTCAATGAACTTTTAAAAGCAATCACCGGCCACATGGAATATTTAATTGTACAAAACCGCCCAATCGGACCAGGAACATCGTTAATTGCAAAAATGAAACAATTCAACAATGGAAATATTGCAAACATTATTTCACATTTTTTCACGGAGCCACAAAGGTAATCGTGTGACTAATCTCGCGAGAAGGAATGTTCCGATATAACTCTACATCGTTATTCGTTTGCCGATTGTATTCAATGACGCTCGTGTAACTTTCGAAAAGGTGTCAAATCAAGCCTTAAAAGACTAACCCGTGCACTCTCAAAACATGGTTCAACGTACAGATTATATCATGAGAAAATGTGGTAACATTTTCTCAGGAAGCTAGAATCTTGTATTGTGTATGTTATGGATCAAATGAGCTACCTATCAACATCTCACGGCAATGTAATGAAGAAACAGTGATGTCGAAACTTTTTTACAACCTATGAGCTATGCTAGAAAATATGTAGAACGTTATGGAGTACATCTCCCTTCCTCCTGACAGTGATTTCATATCCATTATATCCAATTATCTCTTATCTGTTTTCGACTGTTAATAATAATTAGTCTTAAGCTTGAATGATGGTGTAGCTTTGAAAAAGGCATGTTAAAAAATGATGGCCCAATTATGACGCTGGTCGAAAGTATTCGATAGTCGATGCCTTCGTGCGTAAGGTCAGGCTGTTACTAAAAATTATCCTAAGCGAACGGCACGAGCGTTAAGTTAACTACAGAGCAAAAAGTGGTGTCTACAGTCTACAAGATCCTTTAAGAAGTCTAGGTGTGCCGTTAAGAGCCTTCAAGTGCTTAATAGTTCCTGTTGGAGTGCGATAAGTACTTTAATTACCTCTTTAGGTTATGAACAATTCATGATTTAAACATTTTTATGTGAATACAAGGAATCTTTATTGCATATTTTATCCATAAATATCTATCTAAATCAATATTGTTCTGCTTTTGCTCATATCCGGGCTTAAATTAGCTGTTATTAGGATCGTTTAGACCTTCATATTATTTAGCTCGTGACGTAATTAGACTTAACGAGAGTTTAACTGAGGCTAGGTACAGGATAATGTAAACATTGCGGACAGTGAATAATATACGGAAACTAAGCTGCCTCGAGATTACGTTCCATGTTTCGTCTTTCTCTTAATATGAAAACCTCCGTCTTCAACTGATACCGAATTATACGGAATTATTAAGGGTGGTACATATTCTGGAATGTTCATTGTTCAACCACAGTCTTACCAGTCAGAATTGAAGAGTCTATAATAAAATACGAAAGTTTGACTGAAAGTTGAAAACTGGATTAGTTTTATTATTTATCTATTAGATCTCCAAAACCTGATAAGCAATAGCCTCTTTAAACTTTGCAAGGACTTATGATCAGCACTTTAAATATGACTCATGCCTAATATGCATGATTAACGGGTATTTAAAACGGTTGAGTTTTTAAGTTTTTCGACTGGTAGATAAGTAGTGATGATCGCATACCTTGGTTTGTCAGCTGATCTGACTTCTCAGGTACTTTCCGGTTCACTTGAAATATTTTTATGGTGTTTCTAAACTTTGCCTTTTTGATAAATAAACAATATAATATGTATGTTAGATTTTATATTCTTCATCCTTACATCTTCCTTTTTGCATCTTTTCTGGTACTAAATATATCTTAAGAGTATCATGCATGAAAACGGTTACTAAGAGAAAAATTTAATGATTTTGGCTCATAGAAATGCGATTTCAAAAAATTACCTCTCCAAAAGACAGCTGCTTCGAGACACACGCTAAACATTTTTACAGTGTTCTAAAACTTGTCAACGCTCTGCCCTAAAATGCCTTAAAATGCCCGAAAGACCGACCACAATATTGTGTAAACTAGTTTCAGCACGTCATCACAGCGCCTTCAAGTTCTAGGTCTCTCCTCTGAGACCGTTCACCGTGATATCTTTTTATTAAACTGGTCGGAATTTGAGTTTTCTGTGGTTGTAAAAAACCCCAGACTCTTATACCCTCCTGGTAAAATTGGTGAGCCGGTGATCACTTTTAGGGTATCATCCCGTTTAGTTCAATTCAAGGAGTGTCGCAATTTTGAACAGTTGATGGGAGTTTCTGTCGCCATATGTTTAGATAAATCATTTTTAATTGATAATTCGAATTATCGTGTCAGCTGTCAAAATATCAAAATAGTTCAAAATATCAAAATAGTTTCTCAAAAAATCCATCAACATCATACGGTGATTTAATGACAGTATTGGTGGCACTTGTTTTTTTGTTGTACCCTCCCACACAAAAAAGACTCAACTCAAATACCTTAAAAATATGCCGACATATTATTGTGGCAACACTCAGTCATTCAATTAATCAATTGTACTTTTGAGGGTGTTTAATTAAAATCTTTAGAGAAAGTGCCTCGGCAGTCAATATTGGCAGTCTTCAAATTTTTTGATCAGATTATTAGAATAACAATTGAACTGATATTTTCCTGCCACCCCGCAAGTGAGCATGTTCCAACAACTCCTTTGTTCTACGCATAACATCTTTAATAAACTTTAAAACGGTGAACAATTTAATAAGCTTTGGCGACGTTTTTACGACTCAAAAGTAACACGAAAGAAACGTAAATAGGACGTAAATCCGACGTTGTTCAGGCTGGTCATGTTCCCATTAGGCAGCCATTGGTCACCATACAAAACGTTCTTGTGAGATCTCATTAATTGCTTGGTTTTCCGGAAACAAAGAAAAATACACCTCATCAAATTTATTGTTTGTCATCCTTCCAACCAACAAACGATTGTTTCTTCAAAAGAACGCTCTTAAGTTTTAATAACTACAGTTTCTGTACTAGACTAATAGCTGTTTGTAGTAGACTATGATTGGAGTATTTGTAGACAACAAAGACTGACAGTTGACTGAGGATGAGAGCTGAAGACGATTGTAACGTAATGTTATTAGTAAGCTCATGGTTTCTCTCTCTCTCTCTCTGCTCGTTAGAGAGCTAACAGAGCTTGGTGAAGCGTGTACTGGAGATAGGGTTGGTAACCCGTGTAAAAGAGAGCTGTAACAGATGGTAACCCGTGTAACAGAACTTGTTACACCTGTAACAAGTTGTTACACGTGTAACAGGTTGTTACAGTTACATGTTACAGTTCCTTCTCTTAAACAGGGTGTCAGTAAATGGGTACAGTTTAATAAGATATCACAGTGCAGTACGGTATATTACCATCAGTTATCTTGCAACGTAGAGGCAACAAATCCTGCACATAGCCTAATAGGATTTAATAAAGCTTCAGTAGTTCTGACAGATGTTCGCTTTGATATGCCCACGTGCAGTGTAATGTCTCTCAGAAGGGTTCAGTTAGGAGGGTGCGCGCAGTTAGTTGCGTACTCACTCAACTAAGCTAAACTGTGTCTAACTTCACTAAACAGCCTAACTTCACATCACATTTGCACATCATCACGCCCCGGCTCCTTTCATCATTTCATCTGATGGCTTCTCCTAAAGTCTTTATCTTCAAATGAAGTCATATTCTTTACTGAATCGTGCCCTTATTTCAGCGTTTATAATTTTATCATTAACTAAACTTTCTTTTATTTCAACGTTTGTAATTGTACTGTTTACTAACCGTTCCCTATTTCAGCGTTTATAATCCTGCTCTGGCACAAGAGACGCCTCAACCTACACAGTACGTCTCTAACATCCCGGTCCCAGCCTGAAACGAACAATCTTCTGTCAAACGGAGGGGCAAACGGGCACGGAGTGAAGTGCTTATCAGACGGTTTGTCGCACATCTAATTAGTATCACGTGATAATGTGAAGTAGAAGATCACGTGATAATGATGTGAAGAAGGAGATCAGATCTCTCAGATGTGTTGAGAGCAGATCTGGCGCACCAGATGTTGTCCGGCCCGAACCTCCTGCACGTGCTGTGCAGGGTTTGTGCATGTTGCGCGTCACATACACTGCGCATGTGTTGGGAGTGTGGATTTATATATTTCCGGTCGGGACACAGAAAAAGCGGGGACCGGATGCTGTGACTGCCATGTAGTCAATTTGTTTGTTGTGTGTTGTCGATTGTTTGACATGGTGTGAGAAGTCGAGCGAATTTTGAGGAGGAAGAAGAAGAAGAAACTTTTAATGTTAAATTATTTTTGAAGATTATTTTAAGCAGAGTATATATATATTGCGAGCTCCGGAATTGTACTGATGAATTAAAATTTATATTTTTCGATATAAACTGCAACCGTTTTGATGTATGTATGTATCGACGATGACTGAACCGTTCACGTTCACTGTTTAAAAATAATTTCTAGACTTAAATAGTTAAATTGTCACCAAAACTCTCAGAAGTATGAACATTTTGTTCTACAGGACAAAAATATAGCGGTCCTTATCATGAAGAATTTCATCGTGTAACACGGCGAAATTCTTCATGATAAGCACCACTTTATTACGAATACTATAATAGAAAAGATTTCCCGCTTTGAAATATCATGCCATTTTAAAATTTAAAACATCGTGCACGTGCTTACGAAATGGGTTTCTCGGGGTAAATTTTAGGGTGTTATAGTAGGCCAGGTTTCTTAATCATCCAAAGTTGCATCATGAAAGTTTGTTGTGATATAGGATTGATAGCATTATACTACATGTTTACAAATCCATAGTACAATATGCTCGCAGTTCGTATCACATGCACGCCTTCACATGCTTATCTGGCTAGCCTGGAAGTGTTCATGAAGTTACCCCTCTCAGTCGTAAAGTCGGGCCGTTCTTCTTTATGTAATTCTGTGAAAGTCACTGCGGGCAAAACTTTTAAATATTATTCACATAAAAATTACTCATGTATAGAGCGAATTGAATGAATTGTTAAAACTTTTTTCTGCAGTAAACGATACGACGCTCCCATATATTATGTAGAACAAAAGTTTTATCCAACAGTTAGCCTGTACTCGCTAGCGAGTAGTAATCTGCGGTTGAAAATGATACAGGGATCCCAAGGTAATAAAGATCATTTACCCGATGTAGAGATTTAAACGTTTCAACCAGGTCGACATGTATTTTCTTGATGATTAGTTTTAGTTATTCATTATTGTAAAGTTCTTAGTCCGATATTTTCGTATAAATGACAGTCGTCGGGATTTTATTTTTTTAAATACCGTATTAGAAGAATAATATTTGTTCACTTTACCCAGAAGATAATTTTATTCAAGTTAGACCTGAGTTTTAATTTAATTTGTGGCAGAAAACTCGGACCTCGGTTCCATGAAGTAGCTCTGAAAGGGCCGGTCTGTTTTGCATAATCAAGAAATCTAATTCCAGTAGACCAATTATTAGTCGCTCTCTTGTATGGAACGCGCAAGAAGAATTGTCATGTAATTGTTAAAAGTTTGGCGACCTAGCGCAAGAAACGCGCGCATTGAGCCGCGTTTCTCGTTGAACCATGTGGTTGCATTTAAATCCAGCATGTCTGGGTAGTAGATCATCGGCATTAGTTTGGCCTCAGTCTCGGCTCCTTATTTAGTAAACACTCCAGAGAAAATAGTTCTCACTTGTAATTATAGGCCTTCTCTAATGGTCGAACAACCTATACACCTTGGATTAGCCAGCCAGAAGTAGTGCTGATCAAAATATTACAAAATCAATTTATAGACAAGTTTAATCATTCGAATTGATGGGTTTTAATGTTAACCTGGGTACACAAATCCCAGCCTGTTGTATATATTAATATTTTTTCGTCTAAACTGGGTGTCGTATAAGCACATTCTCGAGCTGTCATGAATTATACGAGGTAAAAATTACAACACTGCTGTAATTTTGCTCTGACATAAAACTGTGCTTATGTTATGCACTGGCACCTACTGTTCTGCCGGGAGATATTTGAAGTTGTATTCGTTAAATGACATCCCCTGGTCGACATAATCATCGTCAAAGTAAATAACAGACGCGCCAACCCAACACGTGAAACGTCTTTCGGGCGGACAAAATATTCTAACAATCTTCTCAGCTTTACACTTGTAAAGTTCTGACAGAAGTCTGTAGTTGAAGTTTGTACACTCCGTGGGACCACCACATATGACAATGTTTTGGGCGAGGTCCACTGACTTTTCGGGAGATGATTTTATCAACTGTTTTATCAGACTTGCAATAGTTTCGCTCTCATCATTGTCTCCCTTGGCTGTACTAAAAATAGGCTCTATACAGCTAGCTCGTTCACAATCTAAAACAATCTGTGTCTCGTTTGGCATTGTGTAGATCCTCTGGAACGACTTAGCAGAGCTTCCCACAGCTGCAGTTTCATAGTCGGGGTTGAGGGAAGCAAAAGAATGTCTTTCTTTAATCTCACGTGTATGAACATCGAGATTCTGTTGCTCCGGGTATCTAATTGGAGAGAAGATGCGAGGTGAGCTGTTGAGTCTTGTCCTCCAAGTGGTACTTGAATTTCCTTTGTAGTCAGGTTGTCTATCACTGCTGAGATTCTGGTTACTCCGTGCCCGAAATTTACCATGATTCCTGTAATGTTAGACAATTATGTTTATGGTATTCTAAACGGTTAACATTTCGTGATATCAGACATCAGTTCGTTTAATGTTTTCAAGGATTTTAGCCCATATAAATTTACCAATAAATTTGAATCAAATTATTTGTCATTACCAGTCGGGACACCTGAAGCTTGGCTGACACAAAGGGCGGCCGGTAAAAAGGTCAAATAGCGGACTTTAAATTTCTCGAACATGAGAATTTCCATCTTTCGGTGCTCTTCAGGGGTTGTTCCGGTATGTTCCACGAGGATAACCTCCTCCTCTGATGGATCTACTCTGAGTTTGCTCCAAATAAATTGAATCACCTGTAAGTAACTGGTTTTAGAAGTTTTGTCCCAGATGAAAACTGGTGTGAGACGAAAGGCAATTTGATGAATAGCTTTTGTGGAGGAATAATATGCCCGTTTTACTGTAAATTTTTAGCTCTTAAAACAGCAGTGTCAAAATTCGGAATAAGTGTAAATAACTATACTAGCAGTAGTAGTAAATAACTACTGTCTAGTTGTAGACAGTTATAGTAGTATGAGTATTACTTCACCTGTTCAATAACCTTCCAATCCTCAATCTTACCCCTGACAATTGGCCAGGGTTCAGGATAGAACTGCTCTTTAGTAAAAACAAAGATCGGGTAGGATTCTCCAGCAAATCCTGCTTTCACTGAAAACGATCCAAAATCCAACACCGGAGTTGAGCCAAGTCTAACCATGGCGCTGAATAAAATGTGATTTAAACATTTAAATAATTGTAAGGAACAATAGTTTGAACTTTGAAGGTCTTCGCAAACTTTTCTATTCAAGAAGCCGCAGGTTAGACTTATGATAATAACTTTAAGGAGTAAATTAGCTGTTGACTGGTCTATAAGTTAATAATTTAAAGAGGTTTTGACGAAACAACAAACAAGCTCAGCTTAAATTATTGAATTATTGGCGATGAAATTCAATATAACTATAACAACGCTATAAGTCAATAGGCATCATGTCGTCTTAGGATATTTTCTTATTATAAGGTATGTATAGGCTCTTTAATTATTAAAAGTTTTCATTAGTCAAGTCATCATACAGCACCTGGGCCTGGCCAGCTTGGAGCTATACAACCTTCACCTTGTGTAATATTATAATATAAGTGTCATGAATATAATACTATTGACAAAGTTGAAGTACGCTAGCATTTGACCCAAACGACCCAAACAGTCGATTATCTAATAGATTAAAAATCGTTTGCTGGCATATGATTATAGGGAATCCCAAAAGAACTCCAAAATGTCGAATTGTAAGTTAGTTATAATTGATTCTAAGGCTGGAACCGAAAAGCAGTGAATCTAATATCGAAAAAAGTCATCCTAATTGATTGTTAATGAGTAATTATATTTATGGGTGGCCGGTGGTGGTATCCCCTGCAAGATTCTGTGCGGGTTAGGCTCCTGAATTAGTGGGTTTGTCACAAACAAGAAATTTACAACGACTGACAGGAACATGAACAAATGACTAACTAAAGCAATCTATCTATTCTAAGTTACTAAATTAATATTCGTTATGTTAAACTTGGTTATAGAATTTTAATATTTTACCGAGCCGGACACAAAACGTTTCCAATTGGCACTTCTGCACCAAGCACGAGCTATGGCTGCCCAATTAGACTATCGCTAATACGACAGCTGATAGACGCCATTTGTGAACTTTCCTTTCGATTAGAGGTGCACGATCGTGGCACGTTATCATAGTAAATAAGCTTGCATTTACCCTTTAATCGGAATGGAAAATATATATATTGGAATGGGAAATCTCTCGAAGTGCTGATTGATTGAAATCTTCGAATATTCTAATGTTGCTGCAGTATCTGTAATCTCATAGGTTAAAATGAAATCTGAACAGCTAATTTACCGGGTGGAGTGCAAATGAAAGTGACCATTTACAATGTAAATTGTAAAAACGGCGTAAATGTAATTTACAACAATGTGACGCGTTTGGAGTGACGCGTGTCTCGCAATTATTTTACTTACCAACTTAACCGTATAGTTTCCGGGTTAAGTCGGTTAATGTGTCAAAAAGTACTAATGGACGAAGGTGCATTTATTTTCATTAGTATTAGAAAAAAATATTTTGTACAATTGAACCATAAATGGAACAGGTTTTCTGTTTTCCGGTCGAAATTATGACAAAGATTCCTTAACATGACAGTCAGTAAGTAGTAGCTTCAGTGCCTGCTTGAAAGTTTTCTACAGAATTGAAACCAACAGTTATAACCATAAGTATAATAAATACAAATCACAATAATCTAAAATGACTGCAGCCATTATTATTAATGAACTTAAATTACAAAATTATGAACTTAAAGTAAATATACAAAGCAACTTAAGTAACGCGTTATATTGGTACTGTTATATATATAGTTGTGGTGGAGGGGTCTATGTTTCTGAATGAATGAACGACGAACACCTACTAACAAATCGCTCAGCAGTACTTATAAATCATAAATGAATCAGTAAAGCTGTCAAATTAGAAATAAAGAATCAAAAATTATTTGCAGAAAGCACCGCCACTGTCTGGATGTTGTCACATTTGGCACTCATGATGCAGCTTGGCAGACTGCTGTAAATAAGGATCACAAGGAAGACAACTAAGTTTAACCAATTAGGTTTATTATAGTAATCCCCAAAATGGGCGTACATGGACTGGTTTTATACATTAATGTGTACTATTATTCGTGTGAATAAGGAAGCCAACCATAAATTTACAATAATCAACTGAACTTGAAAATTCAAGTTCGAGAGAGAAATTCACGATCACAACTTTCACAAGTGCAGTAGCCTATGTAATTGTAATACTTCGTGGACAATCTCATATCGAGTTTTGAGGGTGAAGATGCATATCTCAATAGATTAGGTAATAGTTGTCACATATAACGTTCAAAACGTGAGAAGTTCTGACTTCTGAGCCATACTCATTACATAACCGATATATTTTTATTGGTTAGAGTAAATCTTCAACCGATTTACCCGACGCAGAATTGGAAAAATTGTAACTATATTATGCCCGTCCCGTACTTTAACAGGGGAAGAAGTTTGACTGTATGCAATTCATATATGCTTAGCTTAGTAGTGGAGACGTTCCGAGTGGCTTTAAGGTTAAACGGTTGCTGGTGGGAGTAATGGCGTTATATAGCCATTCTGACGTATTTAAAAAAGTTAAGTAGTAAAATTAAAGTAGTAGGATAACGGAAGTAGTAAAATCAAGGTTCGGGGGAAAATAAGTGGAACTGGAAGACCAGTAAATAAAAGATTATCATTCAAAAATCAGTTCATTTGATGTATCACCGTTACAAAGACATATTAAAAGCGAGCGACCGATTTTAAATATATTCGCGAAATAATTTTGGGACCGTAATTTGCATTAATTCTATATAGTTTCTTTTATATTTTGTCAGCAAAAATGGAATACTGCCAAGACTAAGAGACGTTTCATTTTACTATATTATTGGGCTTTGATGAAGAGATTACCAAATTTGTTCTAATCGCGAGATTCGTTCTTTTGAAACAATATGTATTTAACCTTGACATATCGAACTTTGTAGTACAAGAAAACCCTAACTTATCACAAATTGTGGATCAATGTCTAAAACCAATCACTTTGCACAGCTGTATTTTGTATTTCAATACGGTTTGTCGAACAAAGCAA